TATAAGTGTTGTAGTTACATGACATCAAAATTCCTAGTTGTGACACAAGCCATGAGTGACTTGACTACCTAAAACTTTTCTTGACGAGCTCGCTTATGGTATTTCTCCATAAGGTCCTTGTTCATCTCAAAGGGCCAGTAGTCCTCATAGTACCTCTGCAGTTATGGGGACATGGTTGCGACCATGATGCATGCCACTTTGGTGGCATCGTCATAGTGCTTCTTGTAGGCAGCATATTCTTCAGGAGTAGCTTTAGATTCATCAATTTCTTTGAGCTCTCTTTCAAGGACATATTCTTTGTCCTCAAAACGAAGAGCCATTTTGATGTTGCGCATCCAATCGTTATAGTTAGAGCCATCCATAACGACTTTGGAGCAAATGTTGAGCAAAGAGAAGTTGTGGTTGGAGGATGATGAAGCAGAAGTGTTTCCAGGAGTAGACATCTGAAAAGAAAGTTTTAGTTAGATTTCAAGATACCTCAATATAATAACCCAAAGATACAATATTAAGGTTAGGATCCAACTATGAAGATTCACAACTTAGAAATGGGATGCCGAGATCCAAGTGTAAATTTCATAAAGGTAGGTGAATGACGATTCACCAATTCCACCATTAGACGAAATAAACGAAGTGAAATTCCTAATTCGTTTTTTGAGATACATTGAAACTATTCAATGGCATGTTTTAATCTCAGATTATGCTCTTCTATTTGTGACTGGGATGCCGAGGATCACAAACAAGATGTGAATAACCATGCAAATGTGCTTGGTAACCTCATTGTCTTTATCATTAACTATTGATGTGCTGGTAAACCACACACGCTCCATCAAAATGACAATTATGAGATACCCATTACTACTCTTTATTAGTGCCTTTTAGTGTGCTGGTTAACCACACACGCTCCACTAACGACCAATAACGCATAATGTGCAATTTCATGGATTAGCATACTTTTCACATTTTTCCTAAAGTAACTAGAGTTGGGATTTTTGAAAAATAATGTTCTAGTACTTTCTTTAATAACATTATACTTTTAATGAGATGTAGTTGTCCTATCAAACCCGTTCTGCTAACGACCCTCCACTAATCAAGGAAGCGGTGGGTGAGAGTGGACACCCATTCAACTACCATTTTATAGGCAGTTTCCTTATACCCCCCTTATAGACTAACTTCGTGAATGAGGCATACTAGCGATTTGACTGACCATATTCTTATATATATATATATATATATATATATATATATATATATATAATATTAAACTTTTAATTATAATACATATATAAGGTGTGTTTTAAACTTTTTAAAACTTTGAGGTTTATATATAAATTTCGAAAATTAAGCCATTAATTTTAAATTTAAAATAAACCAAATAACTAGATTTAATATTTATCTATTAATTAACTTTTAATTAATTTATTAAATCTTGTAAGGATTATCTAATTAAATTAAACAATTAATTTAATCCTAATCCATATCCCTTCTAGATTTCGAAAATATGGGGATAGGATAATTTCCTTATTTTTCTCAATTATCCAATAAGGCAACTATTATCCAAAACAAAGAAACCCTAAAAGGGACTAGCATATTTCGAAATTTTAAGGGAGGAGGCAAGGGTTTCCAAAACCCTAACCCTAATTTCGATTAGGGTTCATGGAGGCTAGGGTTTTTCGAAAACCCTTTGAACCAAAACCCTAAAATCGAAAATTTTGACCTTTAGGGTTTAATGGCTATAAACCCTAATTTGCAATTCAACTATTATAGCAATTCAATTTAAAACAAACAATGGCTGTGATACCACTGATGGGTTTTGGGTAAAACAAATAAACTAGAAAAACAATTCCTAAGTTCACATGCAACCTACTTTGGATCTATGTTTTAACTATTGAACATATAACTTTGAATTGCAAAACAAGAACCCTAAGGAGAGAGGATATTTTCGAAAATAACTAATTAGGGTTTAAGAGTTACATATCTTTCAATTGTTAAAGCAAACAATTGACAATCCTCTTGATCTTGATCTTCTTGGAAGCTTAGCACCACAAATGTAATGCCTCTAATGGAATCACACCCAAGAGCTAGCAAGAAGGAAACTTATAAGGAGAGAGGGTAGGGTATGCAAAAATCGGCCTAGGGTTTCTTCCAAGGTAGGAGTCACCGATTTTAGGAGCTGGGAGGCTCCTTATATAGTTGAGGGATCTAGGGCTTAGGGAAAACCCTAATACTCCTTTGCTTGGGGCCTAAGCTAATCCAAAGGCCTTATCCAAAGCCCCTTGGACGGAATCCTTAGGGTTTCCCCTATAGATTTCGTCCACCCCCTTCCAAGGAGGTTCTGGAGCCTTCCACTCAACTATCTGATAATTGCAAACTAGTCCCTGCACTTTATAATTAATACTTTTAACCCCAAAATTAATTCTGATTAATTTCTGGCTAACTATTAATTAAACATAATGACTTCTAACTAATATATTAATCTTTTAACATATTAATAAATTATTTATATTAATTTATTAATCTTATAAATTAATATCTCTCCTTTCATAATTTCCTTGTCCAGTTGCTAGGTTGAGGGCAACCCAAAAGGACTCTGATGCTATCAATTCAAGTACATGCTAATTATAGTTATGGACTTAGACACCTAATCCAACAACCATAACCCTAGTAAATGCCATTATATAAAGGAAGTCAAGCATCAAAAGTCTTTACCTTGTTATCATTAATACTAAAAATTCATTTCTCATAAATCCAAATAAATGGTATACTGCGATTGTGGCTATGAAAGTATTATAAGGACATCACCGACTAGAAATAACCTTGGACGGCTTTTTTACGCTTGTCCTAAAGAGGTATGTGGGTTATCCTTTTATTATTTTTCTTTGAATTAATATTAATATATACAATATATGTCATGTGTTTGATCTTAAATTTTTAGGGACCACAATCTGGGTTTATCTGTTGGGTTGACAAAGCAAAAGACAATAATTCGGTGATAATCAGTAACTTATTTCGATCGAAGAAGAAACTTGAAACCCAACATATGCACTTGAAGATAGCATTAATTTGTAGTTGGATTTTCTTTTTTGGAATCATTGTGTACAAGTTGTAAACTTTATTTTCATCAACTAAGTTTCCCTTCTATAATGTGTATTAATCTTTTTAATATGTAATGTTTGCTTTTTTGTTAGTATTACTATGGTACTTGTAAATTATGTTTTTTCTATCTTTGTAATATGTAACAAATATTAGAGCAATAATAATATTTTTCATTACACACTGCAAATCAATTAATTGCAATTACATTGGCAATAAAACTGCAATCGAAGGATCTGGTATTTCCCATTCTAATGGAGGGGAAGAGGGTGCACAGTTTGTGTCTGGTAGGCAGTCTGAAACACATCAGTCTGGTAATATATCTGAACCATATCAAGTAATTCATGGATGTTCGAATGACGTGATGCTGCAATAGCATGACCGCAAGCCATACCCAAACTACGCCCTTTCCCACATGAACTTGTATGACGGTTCGGATCAACAACACAAGTTTTTTTAAGATAAAAAACTTGATAAATGTCGGACGGGAGCGGAGACGGGATCTCTGGCGGGATATTTGTTGCTTGCCATCGAACAGACTTTTGCATCCTTTTATGAAGCATCAGTTCACATACGGAGTGAGTACGGTAGTCAAACTTGCTGAAAAGTAAATATGATCAAATAAGGTTCTTGTACAAGTATTTAAATAAATTTGATGTTTCAACCGATATTTTACCTGCAATCAATCTGCGTTCATCGAAAGTTCGTTGAATGTAGTCACGAATTGCCTCGGTAAGCATTATTATCTGTACATTGCGTTGATTTACCGATAACACAAATTTTTTTTGGGGAACATCAATGTTGACTACATTCCAACGGATGTTAGGGAAATAGGCTCTTGCACATTTTGCATGACCGATGTTGGCAAGCATTTCACGAGCATCAGGGGTTAGCCGGCATAACTTTTCTTTAAAATCAGACACAATATCTGAGTTGGATGTCATCCAGAACAAATGTTGTAATGTTCTGTCAGAGATGCCTCTTGTGCGCATATATCTTAACACACTTTTGGAAGTATACCCATGATAAGAATCAGGGAATACATGCTCTATGCAAGAACTAACGACATCGTCTATATTTGTTATGAACGATACTTCCCTACACTATCTCAGAGCTTCTCTTAACCTCATAAGGAACCAGGTACAACGGTAGAGATTATTTTCCACGGTCAGACCAAATGCTATATGGAAGGTCTAGTTGTTCCCGTCGATAGCAACCGCTACAAACATTGTTTTTAGGTACTCCCCTCTAAGATGGTCACTACTTATGAAGATGACATGCAAGAAATAGCCTATGAATGTATGAACCTGTATTTTTTGGGGAACAAAAATGAATTAATTTAAATATAGAAACATTATATATTTTAAAGAAACAATAGAAAAGTGCAAAAAAACAAACATACCACCCATCCAATAGCCACAAAATAAGCTTTAAAACATTGATCAAATAAGTTTTGATGTGATTATAAATATGAATGTTAGTTCGCCTAAGGTTGTGAAGGTAAACATACAGGTTGTTAAAACTTTATTCGAGTTGACTCTTTGGGAAACTCATTTTGAAGAAGTTTTATAAGAGATAATTATGAATTAGTTGATTGAAGGTAAGGTTCTAAGCATATATGGACACATATATATATATATATATATATATATATATATATATATATATATATATATATATATAGGAGACGAAAAAGAAAAAAAAATGAGTTTATAATCCGGAGTAGGAACTCCATAATAGATACTCTGGAACGGAGACCACAACTCCGAAATGCTATGTTCCGAAGAGAGTGGTCATTTTACAAAAAAAAAAAAAAAAAAAAAAAAAAAATTGTTAAAATGACTGATTATAAGGATTATTTTACTCAATTTCCCGGATTTTAATTTCTAATATTAACGAGAGAGAAAGTGAGAAACATCCTTCTGTTTACAAGCACGTACGACCACTCGACCAGCACCCATTCCAACCTCTGAAACTTCTACTCGACGCCTCATTACCATCGACACCATCTTCTCCAAGTACTCCCATCCATCTGACGCCTCCATCGTCGATCAGCAATCGTGCCCAAAGCTCCAACATCGATCTCCTAATTTCTTGATGTTCCAACATCGTGCTCCAGGTTCTCTATCGTCAATCTTCATGCTGTAACCATATCAATTATCGATCTTCAAATTTATTGATTTGATTGTTGGCGTTATTGTTCTTAATTTCACCGATACCAGTCTTTTACAACTTTCTTCTATGTACTGTTTAGATTTCCTCTTCAATTTCTATAAGTTATTTGCAATTTTTTAGTCTGGGTTCCTCGTTATTAGTTGCGGAAGGACATAAAAATCAATACATGTTGAAACCATACACTGCTATCATCCTTGCACATCAACTGTTTGATTATATGTTCATTAGATTTTTTGGTCCTCATTCCTCGTTAAACATGGGCTTTGAAATTGTCAAATGCAGACTTATGTGTAAATGGTTAAAAGAACTGTTAGTTTATTATGTATCATCAGATGAAGAACAAGCAGCGCCGAAGGAGGAAGAAGGGTCGTTGGAGTTTCCAAACCTGGGATTTTATCAATACAATATCTAGAAAATAAACGAGGGTATAATTGTCATTATACATTTTCTTTTTTCTTTTTCTGTGGATAGATAACCATCTTCAGTGGATAAATCAAATCAATTCCCTTTTCATAAACGATCTTAAATGGAAGCGGGAAATCTCCTCCGTGCAGTCCCGTTAAATTCTCATAAACCTTCCGGTCTTCTTCTCCGATCTAATCGACAGTTCTCTAGGGTTTCGGCCAACTTACAGGTGCCTTTGTCTTCCTTCTCTTTCTCTCTCTCTATATGTATATGTATATGTATCTGTGTTTCAATTTAAACATGTCATCGAACAACTGAAGGGAGGTTATAAAGGACCAAGGCCAAAGAGAGAATTGATTGCTGATTGGGTATCAAAAAATGACGATATTGTCAGGAGTATTCCGATCTACGTCGGAGGGACCTCTCTGTTCGGCGTTCTGTTCAACAGGACAATTTCCGGCATAGCTCCCGTTGCTGATGCCAGCAGGTAATCAATCGCATTCTCACTTCTTCTGCTAATTAATGATTTTCGTAATTAACTTTCTTTCATCTCCTTTTTTTTTCTCTTAATTTGATTGATTGAATACGATAGATCAGTGCATTAGCAACTGATTTGAATTGAATCCAAGACCTCTTTTCCTGGAGACATTGTAAAATGCGTATATTCTAAAAGCTTTTTTCAATCATCATGCAGTTCACAATCCAGAGCCGATCTACTTGCAATTGGGTTAGCAGTAACTAATATTTTAGCAGGTCTTGTGTGGCTTTCAATTCGACCTAAATCCATATCTGTGGTAAGAAAACCCCCTTTCATATCAGCTTCTAACTTGGTTTTTGTCACCACTTTAATACATGAATTTCAAATTTTGAATTCAGGTGCCACCACGAGGTGTGGAGTGTGAAAGAATACATTCCAGCATTCCGGATCTTGTATCTTCTGAATTAAAATGGTATGGAAAAACATCATTTTCAATTTTTTTAATGGCAATAAGTTAGTGTTTGTGAATTGTGATGTTAGGGCATGGGAATCATTGTCAGGAGTGACATGCAGCAAGTCTCTAGTGATTGTATATGATGGGATTTGTGTTGTACAAATTGGATATGCTTCTAATGAAAATGAAGGTGAAGCCATGGTTGTAGATGCTCCTAAGTTGATGCAAGGATCAATCTATCAAGGCATTATGAAATCTGGATCACGTAAGCCACATGTGAATGTGATAATGATGATATTTTGAAATAAATTATATTAACAATATTTGAAGAATTATACAGAAAGCTACTTGGCAAATTTATCTCTGTATCCTGGAAAATCTGAGCTCCCATTTCTCCCTTCAAATACACAGGTAATATTTCTATGCCAACAAACCAATTCTTTTTTGCTGTTATTACAAGTTTACAAGGTCATTTATATATTTACACTTTTGGCCCAAGTTTTAAACTTTGTTACAAATTTGCACAAACTTATTACAGGCAGTGATCTTGCAACCAGTTGGAGATAAAGGAATTGCAATAATTGGAGGTGACACCATTCGAGGCTTCACAACATCAGACCAGGAAAGCATTCATCTTTTTATTATTATTTATTATTTTTTCCTTTTCTTTAATCCAATTCCAAATATAATGTCAGATTCACATTCTCAGTTAGTTTTCCATAAATAGGAAAATATGCATTTTTTTTTTTGCTTAAGTTAAAGTGATGTAATAATAATAATAATAATAATAGTATAGTATATACCCCTCTGCTGCAGGCATGGATCAGTTTAATAGGAGAGAAGCTGGATGCCACGCTTTCTAAGCATATCAACACCAAAAAACCTTTGGCTACTTCCAAACCAAGATAAACGTTTTGTTTTTCGTTATTCATTATGAATTTAACTATGTTTGTATATCATAATAATAATTTAATATATATTTTTTAAATAGTTTAGTATGTCGCATTTGTCAACATGTTTTGCTTTGAACAAATTTTATACTTTTATCTGGTGACAACATGATTATGTTTTTCTTTAATGGCAACGTATCTAGGGGTTGTTTGGGATTGTTTATTTAAGATACTTTTCTTTTTCCATTTTAAAGTGTTTATTCCGAAAGGCAATTTGGGAAAAATGGTTGAAATTGGTTAGAGGAATGAGAGAGAGAGAATAAAAAGGGAAGGGGGTTTCATTTCTAGAGGTGGATGAGTATTCTTCAATCTTAGTGGCTCTTAGCATTTAGCTAGTGAGAGAGGGAGATTCACTGGGAATTGTTTGGTGTTCTTATTAACATCATTCAACATTTCTATTTTGTATTCTATTTCATTTGAATCTAGTTACATCATCTTCCTTATTACAATTTGTATTGTTCTTGTGATTTCACTTTCCTCAAAATCTATTTTCCATCGGTATCTACCGTAATAATGAGTCTTGCACAAGGACAATAATATAAAAGTCACTGTAGTTTGGCCAATATCCGAGTTAACCACTGTATTATTTTTGTTCTAAAAAAATCACTCATAGTTTTAAATAATATAAAAAAAACAACGCATAAAAAATAGCTCTAAAAGTCTAAAAATAGAAAATAAAATTAACCACTACACTTTTGAAAGCAATCAACCATTGATAAAAAAAAATACATCTATGCGAGCAATTAACCTCTAAAACCTCTTTTAAACAATGAAAAATATAGAACTTTGAGATATTGGCACCAAATTTCCGCAAAAAATGTTTATTACTTTTAAAAAGTAATTTAAATAATTTTAAAATATAAAATCAAAAGAGGGTGTTTCCATTGCATTACCTCAACTTTTCAATGCAATGTCATTAAATGACCCAAGTATGGAAGAATGGGTCAATTTATCATTAAACTAGACGAATATTCGTACGTTGAGCAAAACCTAATAAAATATTTTGTTGTCATGAATTATGAAATAATAATTTACTATTAAGTAGATGTAAAATATTTTAAATATATGATAATATAAAAATATATTAAAACTACATCATCTTAATCGTCTTTATATGCAGGTTATATGAAAGTAGTTACACTAGTTTTTTATTTATTATTAAAATTAATTAGTTGGGATATATATATATATATATATATATATATATATATATATATATATATATATATATATATATATTACATGAATCGTGTGTGGTCCAAATGTCAATTTGCACGTTTAGTCCTTATTTTTAAAAATTAACTCGGGTCGTCCCTCATTCATTTATTTACTGTCCTGTCGAAATTAACTATTTGTTTTCTCCGTTTGGGTGCCCCACGTGCCTAGCATGTAGGGATATTTTCGCCGTTGCCCCTCCCTTTCTTTCACTCACCTTCGTCGATATTCTTCTTCCCCAATTCTTTCTTCCCCATTTTCTTCTTCGATTAGCTTTCTCCACCTAAAATGTCAATTAGATGCAACTGTGGAGCTGAAGTTGTGATTCGTACTTCGTTGAGCAAGAACAACCTTAGAAAACGTTACTATGCTTGTTCTATCCTGGTTAATACGTTCCAGGAAGGATGTAATACGCTTATTCAGCAGATCAGACAGAGGTTGCGGATAGCTCAGAATCGGCAGAATTGTTATGCCAACAGACGTTGATCTAAGTTAGAGTTTCATGTCGGCGATATGGTATAATGCGCTTCAGGAAGAGGGGCAAGTTGGGACCCCAGTATATTGGGTTGTTTCAAGTGATTTCCAGGGTTGGCAAGGGTAGCATATTGAGTGGATCTGCTTAAGGAGCTCAATCAGATTCACAATACCTTTCACGTCTCTCAGCTATAGAAGTGTGTACATGATGATTCAGTAATGGTTCCATTAGATGATATTCATGTTGATGATCGTCTGAACTATGTTGAGAGTCCAGTGGCGATTTTGGATAGGAAGACGAAGGCCTTGCACAACAAGGTAGTATCTTTGGTCAAGGTCCAGTGGCAGCATTGGAAGGGTTCCGAATGGATTTAGGAACCCGAGGAAGAGATGCGAGAGCACTACCCTGAGTTATTCGTAGCAACGGACTTCAAGGATGAAGTTTGATTCAAGTGGGGGAGAATTGTAACATTCATCATCCAAGTAATTTACAAATTTGACCCTTATATATGAAATTTGTTGCAAAATCGGTCCCTTGGTCACATAAGTAGAAAACACGTTTTTTTTGGTACGCTGGGCGTACAAGGTAGAAACTTAAACCCTAATTTTTAGGGTTTGGAACCTATTTAAGCATCCTTATCTCATTGAGACCCCTTCATTCATCAGCTTCCAACCCTCTTCTCGTCCCTAGCAAACCCTAATCTCCATTTGTGGTGTTTTAAGCTCATTTTTGGTGTTTGGTGTCCATTGTGGAAGGAAGGAAGCCATGAGAAAGCAAGGATAGAGCTCCAAGCTTCATAGATCTGAGTTTTACACCCCTTGAGCAACCTACAGAAGGTATAAATTTCTGAACTTGTTGATTATCTCATTAGATCTTACTAGATGTGAAGTTTTGTGCTTTTTAGTCCCATAATCATGGTCCATTTGGGTATGACCGTATGAGCTACTCTAGACCAAATGAGTTGTCCTTTTGGACGTTTTAGAGTGTCTAGAGTGGTAAAAATGGCATCTTGGTCCTTCTTTTCCTTCGATACAAAGGTTATGATGTCTTAATGGATTAATAACTTAAGGTTCTAGCTTTTGGACCTTGTCTAGCCATGAAAAGTCATAAAAATGGAAACTTTATGACTTAGAACGATGTTATGGGTCTAGATCTGAGTTTGGACGAGAGGTCTTGACGAAATAAGCTCTTAATATAAGGATTCGGATTCAGACACAGTACGTTGGTCGTACCAATGGGTACGTTGCACATACTGGGTTTGAGTCTCGCGATTTTGGATGGATTGTGGTGGCGCCTAGCGTAGCAGCTGAGTACGTAGGGCATACTCAGCCAGGTTGACCTTCCCTTGACCCTTAGACTTGCTGATTTTGACCTTTGACCTAGGGTTTGACCAAGTTTGACTTAGGGGAATTTTGGGTATTTTGAGATGTGATTTGAGTTTAGGTCACTGTCTGTGTATAGGTGACTCGCAGAGTTGACATTTGAAGCAATGTTCTTTCTTGCTATCTTTTCGGACCGTGAGGTGAGTTTTCATCATTGTACTTATGGGTCGAAGGCACCAATTCCGGCCCACTAGGTTATGTATCATGGTATATAGGATGTTATTATGTTGTAGTGATTTGTTAGATATGTATCATGGTATATAGGATGTTGCTATGTGGTAGTGATCTATAGATATGCCTGTTGGTCTGTTGATTGATTATATGTTTATCTGTTGCATATCTCGACATAGTGTGGTTAGGTTGACGTTGTACTGCTTTGTGCTGTAATCCAACAAACCCGGGGCAATCCAATCGGGAGATTGTGGGCCATAGCGGCAAGCCAACCGGGAAGTTGTGGGCTAGGGTAATCCAACCGGGAGGTTGTGGACCCAACATGCAATATGTATATGTGTTTGATTATGTATGGTACTTTGGGGGAACTCACTAAGTTGTGGCTTACCGTTTAAGTTTTATGTTTCATGTATTTCATATGATCGGGGGAAAAGCAAAGGCTTGATCGTGCACATCCATCCGATTTTATGATATTAAATTTTTTTGGGATATTCTGATTCGCGATTATTACTTTTGGGAACTATGTTTTGTAAACAATTATGGTTTGTGGTTGGATTTTAAAAATAAAAAATTTACCTTAATTTTTGGGATGTTATATATATATATATATATATATATATATATATATATATATATATATATATATATATATATATATATATATATTAGTATTACGTATGAATATGTGTGTTATTTAGATCGGTTTAGAATATATTGGTCTGATTTTATCCGTCTGTGTTCCGAATTGATTCGATTTGGACTGAACTATATCACCGGTTTCGGGACAGGTTACAAAAATTTAAGAACTGCCTAGACCGGTTCAGGTTTCGGTTCCAACTTCCTAGGAACCTCTGGTTACAGTTACAGTTTTGGTTCTCGCCAAATGAGGTGGGTACCCGCCTATGCTCATCTTTACCTTTAACAATTAGTTTACCTAGTTTACCTGAGTATAGAAGATAATAACATATCATATACATCATCAACTACACAAAACTTACTTACATCCATCAACTGACTTCAATTCAGGTCTATCACTAAGCACGAGAATAGGCTTCGGAATCATGATTAATCCACCTGTGACAGAAGATCTTTAACTGCAAAAATGGTTTCTTTTAACAAAAATTTATAATTTTATCAGAACTTGTAACTGAAACTAACCGTAACATCTATGCCACAGGTACAACAAGAATAAAACAGAACTTAAGGAATTACTTCGTAAGAAAGCATACAAGGACATTGAGATTTTACTTCCATATCCACAAGAGAAATACATAGTTCCTATCGCTAAAGCAATCATAAACTTGAAATATGTAAGTAATAACAATGAATGAAGCCTTAAAAGTAATATTCTTTAAGTTATACTAAACAACATACAATTAACACCATTTGTTTTCAAACACAATGAAAAACATGGATAAGCGGCAACAAGCATTTACCAACCCAAGATAGAAGCTTCTCACACACAACATGTTCAAACTGCTTAAAATTTGTTGAAGCAGACGTGACTTGGAAAATCAAATGTAAATCATGTAAAACCGAATTCGATGCTCAAGTATTGTAAGTGTTTCTTCATTATAAACCAACATTTACTAAATTATATATATATATATATACACACACACACACACACACTTACATAATGATAACCATATGGCATCTTGAGAGCTAGAGTTGATATTGATGATGGAACTGCATCAATCCGTGGATGTATATTAAACCGAGACATCCAAATGTTCATTCTATTTACACCAAATGCAGTCAAGGAGTCTAAAGATAGTGTAAAAGGAACCCATAATAATTATTTTTTACACAAACCAGTGTTTATCATGTGAACTTACCAACTACCTTCAAGCACAGAAAGGGTATGCATAATTCA